TCCCTGTTAAGAAGCCAGATTTTTCTAGATGGGAGGAAGGCAGCCAACCTAGGCTCACCAAGCTTAAGCCTCTTTGGACCTTTTTGACTTTATCTTTAGAATACGTTGTCAGTGCTTGGTAAACACAGCTATCCCTCCAGGCAGGTTTCAAGGCTGGGGTTTATCAGTCAAAGGGCATGATTGTGGACAGGAGTGAGTCCTGGAATGCAGTGCGGTGGAAAATGCCTTCAGGTCACAGCTGACTTATAGTGACCCCATAGGGTTTTCAAGGCAAGAGATGTTCAGAGGTGGTTTGCCAGTGCCTGCCTCTGCGTCGCAGCCCTGGTATTCCTTGGTGGTCTCCCACCTAAATACTAGCTAGGGCCTACCCTTGTTGGGTTTTGATAGTGAGATATTGAAAAAATGGTATTTAGCAGAGATAAGATGGCTTAGCAGAGCTAGAGTAAAATAATTCAGACTCAGAGTCCATGTGTGATTAAAATAGAAAGTTTTTACTAAATTCTAGCATGGGGAAGGGTAACTGAGATGAAAATAACAACAGAGCTAATCGGCTACATCCTTACACTACAAAGACAAAACTACCGTGTTTTCCCGAAAATAAGATACTGTCTTATATTTATTTTTTCTCAAGAAGACACACTAGGGCTTATACCACAAATGCACAGAAATCCTGCTAGGGCTTATTTTTGGGGTAGGTCTTATTTTCGGGGAAACAGGGTAGAAGAGCGTTATGGCTTCTCTCCTTCTTCTTGAGAACAGCGAACAAAGACGGGAAGAGGAGCCATAAAATGCTAAAACAATTCAACACTTTCCTCCCAATCAAACTCCTAGATCAGGGAGAAATTTCCCGGGCTTGTACTCCTAAAACAACATTGGTTACATGAAAAGCATGTGACTTCCTGTGAGCAACACAAACAAACATTTAACCCCAGATACACTGAGTGTTTTCAACTTGTAATACCCAACACCCCTTCTCAAGTTACAACACGAAAGTCATGCAAATTCAAACATTCACGAAGAGTCTCAAAACGTTGCTTGTCAAGCGGCTTGGTCAGGATGTCAGCAATCATCAGATCAGTAGGACAGTATTGGAGTTCAATCAGTCCTTGGTCTTGCATCTCTTTCACGTAGTGACATTTGAGTGCGATGGTCTTGTTTTTAGATTTGGTGCCTTCACCTTTGCAGATGGCAATACAAGTTTGATTGTCCTCTAAAAGTATTATTGGCTTTGGTTCATCTATGCCAAAGTCTTTCAGTAGATGAATAATCTAGTAAAGTTCATAGCTTGCATTTTGTGCTGATACACATTCAGCTTCTCCAGTAGACATGGCTACAATACTTTGCTTTTGACTAGTCCATTCAATATGACATCACCGGAAGTGTGTCATAAGGCCACATCCCCTGGCATCACCGGAAGTGTGTCATAAGGCCACACCCCCTGATATCACCGGAACCTCTTGATGACTGTTTTTTGTTTCTTGTCCTTGGCCCTTTCGGTCTGATATCACATCCCGGGATACTCCTTTGTTAGCGACTGTGTGACACAGTGTTAGACTGGATGGGTCACTGGCTTGATACAACATGGCTTCT